CCCACGCTGATGTGTCCTGCAGTTCAGCACATCTGGGGGCCCTTAGGAGGAGGGCTCAGCTGGTGCTTCAGAAGGTCAGAGTAAACACTGCAAGCACCTTGGAGAGGCATCCGGGAGGGGAGGGAAGGGAAGGGGAGGGGAGGGGCCCCTGCTCAGCCCCCAGCAGCACCCCAGGCAGGGCTTGGAATGACTCCGGACTGACTGTCCAGACAGCCACTGTTCCCATTCCGTGTGAAGAGCACTGGCTAGATGGACTGGTGGGGGGCAGGAGGGCTGACTCTGCCCAAGCCACTTCAGTATCACCCCCACCAAATTGCAGGTGAGGAACTACAGCTCAAAGAGGGCGACTTGCCCAGGGCTGTGAAGCAAGCCCGTGGCAGACGCAGGCTCCCTCCAGCCCTGCAGGGACCGCACCACGTTTTGGGTCCGGAAGAGGGTCCCTGGGTCACGAGACAGCTTCCCTGCCGGGCCCCCTCAGCCGCAGCTGATCAGCAGATGGCCGCTGCTCCGGCCCGGCCTGCGTGCCTCCTGGGTGGGTCCTCTAGAGGAGGACCGTGGTGCGCAGGAGTCCTGCAAGAGAGCTGAGAAGGGCATGCACAGTTCCTGCCGGCAAGGAGTGGCCTCCAGGAGCTATTTAGGGCACCGAGCGAGCAACAGGGCATGGCCGGGGGGCGGGGGGGGGGGAGGCTGGCAGCATGCAGCACCCCCTCGCAGAGGGGAAGGGAAGCTGCTTGGCCCTGCAGCATCTGGCGACATCACAGCAGCGGTGAGCAGGCGGTCAGCAGGCCGCGCAGGGCACCAAAGGCACCGCACGGCTGCTGCAGCTTTCAGGAAGGGCCTGGACCGGTCTTTGCCTTTTGTCCTGCCTCCCTCTGAAGGCACCACAGTTGATCTTCCAGGCAGTCCTGCAAGCAGCTGTGGGGGGGGGGGGAGCCGTTCACATGACCTTCCCAGCTTGGGATTTGACAGATCGTTCAATGATGCTACTTTCCTCTCTATTTCTGGAACCTGAGTGGTCAATAAGGGAAAAGGCTCCTAGGCCTTGTGGCTGTGAAGCGATAGCTGCTAACATCTCAGTGGCCAGAAAAGCGGGGGGCATGGCTTTCGGCAAATGTGAGTTCAGGCTTCAGTGACTGACAGAGATCCCTGCCCGTTCACTGGCAAAACTATAATTAAACAGAACAACAACAGAAACAACAATTGTGCGATATAAGAGGAACTAGCACATTCATCCAGTTTCTAGCATTCAGTCCAGTTGCAGAATTTAACCTTTTCTGGCACAGAATTTGGATTAACCTGGTGCGGAATTTCAACTTTTCAAGTGTGATGTACACTCAGTTCTGTCAACAAGACCCCCTCTGGCAAAGAAAAGCGAAGGCTCCTCAGATTCCCCCAGGAGCATGCGATGCAATGAGGCAAGAGGCCCGCTCTCCTCCTCTGAATTACCCACACCGACCCTTGCAATCTGCCATCCTGGGAAGGAGGGCTGTTGGGCAGGGACCACTGTGCTGCCTTTTCCCAGCAATCCCCCCGGCATCCAAGAGGGGCCAGTATAGAGATTATGCAGCCTGTAAAATAAACTCAGGTTGCGCTGGAAAGAGGGCAGATCTGCTCTTCAGCCACCCAGCTGCCCAGCTTCTCTATCCTTCTGCCCCTGCTCCTTTGTAAAATGTGGGTGCGGACCTTAAGCCCGACTCTACGGACCAGATAATGATAGGGCTGCTTTCCTGGAGGAAAGAGCTTTAGATCGACGGAACGTTGGCAGAACTGGCCAAGAAGACGAGGTCGGTTCAGAAAACCACAAGGTGCTTAACAAGCCCACTTGTTTGTGTGAAATCTAGGGCAGAATGAATTGGCTGGTTAATTCCATTGCCGGCTAAGATTCTTCCTCCCGCCTCCGCCCAGCAGATGCAACCAATTGCATCGCCTCCCCCTTAATCCTCTGTTCCGGCCAAGCTCCACGCTGCTGAGGCCACCTTGATTGGCCGCACGAGGATGCCGGGGCGGTTATAACTGGGCAGAATCCTGCTCGGACGCTGAGGGAAAGGCCTAGGAACGGGGGGCAACTGGCCCATGATGCCTGCGTGCAAAAGCTCAAGAGAGAGGCCCGGGTGCTGAGCAAGTAACGCACTGCGCTGCTTCCCCAGAGGGGAGGAGGTAGAAAAGGGTGGCTTCCGGAGGCGCCAGCCCCTGCTCCAACCGGGGAAGGGGCTCTGCCAGTCAGGCGGAAACACTGCAGAGGTCACAACGCCTCCAAGAACTGCCCCCCAGTTTAGCCAGGGGCTCCGTTCATGCCTGCCTCCAGGGGCCTGAGCAACTGAGAGGAGAGAGGAAAGGTTGCAGGGCCGGAAGAAAGCAGCGAAGCAGGTGGCTCCCCTTCATGCCAGAGCTGGCACCTGGCCCAAAGACCGGGGCCAGTTGAGCCATCCAATATTGAGCAAATCGATAACGCTCCGAGATCGTTTTAAAGCATTTGCTGTATTACAACAACAAAGAGTTACTTCGGCCATCTACAGATCTGATGCTCTTGCGAAGCACGTGAACAAAATGGCTGTTATTGAGAAACAGTGCAATTTTTAAAGGTTGCTAAAAACGTCTCTAGATCCACGTCCCTTCCCTCAGCCAGGCCATGTGCTGGGCGCACCCCGCCCTCTCCGGCAAGCAGAATGCAAGTCCCGGCGTGCCACTGCCACGCGTGGCTGCTTGCATCCCTGCTGGGAGGCGCTGGCAGTCCAGTTGGGTGGCCGGCTGGAGAAGCTCGGCTTCAGTGCCCGACTCGCCGCAGGACCAGGGGCCAAGCAGCTGCCCTCTTGCCCGTGCACACAAGCGACACCACAACAGCATAAACCCGGGCAAGCTGCCACCAACACATTATCCTTCTTGGAATATTTGACAGCATTGGACCACAGTCAAATAACAGGTGGCTAACTGACGATGACTCACCAGCCCAGCATCCCTGCCTGATGGACAGCCAGGCCTAACGGGAGCAGAAGCCCCCTAGTTCCTGGATGCACGAGGAAGGAGGGCTCGGGTGGCAGGTGGGCAGCTCTGTGGCGGCCCACCTCGACCTTTCGTTCGGAAGGGATGCCAAGGAGCTTCCTGGGCCGCTTCCTGCAGTGTGCCAGCAGGAGGGCCCGGCCGAGGCTCGTGTGGCCAGCACGGCTTCGTTCCCCACCGCCGCTGTGGCACAGGGGCTGCAGCAATCTGCTGCAAGGCGTGAGGCAGTGGGGGTGCGAGCAACACCGAAGGCCAGGCCGGGCTGCTGCATCAGACTGAAGGCGGGTCCCCCCAGCCTGGCATTCTGCCCCCGACACTGGTCAGCTGGGCACTTCCGGGAAGGCAACAGACCCACTCTCGTGGGAGTACCCCACGGCACAAGGGGCATGGGTCTCTTGGGGTCTGACTGACTGCCATACATTTGGGGTGGAGATGGGGGCGATGTTTGCCCCAGGTCAGGCTAGCTTCTGAGGCAACCGGGCCAAGGAAGAGCGCAGGTTCGTCAGCGACGGCACCAGCATGACCTCTGAGCCTGCGCACGATCCCAAGTGCAGGCAGCCTTCCCCAAATGCACCAACATGCTATCAAGCCCCTCTCCCGTATCCTGCAAGAGGGGCAGGGGATGCCATGCCAAGTGGCCCTGTCCCTCCAGCCGGGGGAAAGGATGCAGCGAGGCGCGCTTGCTCGGTGCGGCAAGCGCCCCTCCGCCCCCGGATGCCCGTCAGACCTTTGGTCGAGGACATCTTCTGTTGGGCCAGGTTAAAGCAGCTGCTTAGGGCAGCCTTTGCCAACCTGGTGCCCTCCAGTTGTGCTGGACAACTCCCATTCTGCAGCTGGCGAATTATGAGAATTGTGGTCCGACGCATCTGGAGGAGCGCCAGGTTGGGGAATAGCCTGGTCTGTCCGTGCTGCTCTCTGCTTGGCAGGGTGGCGGCGGCCGCTTCCAAGGGTCTCCCTGTCACCCATTTATCACAGAACGTGCTTTTTGTGACTTTTTTAACCAACCACATGGCAGTCTGACCTCTTGGGAATAAAGCCGTGATGCAATAATTAAGCAAACGAACAGGTAGGGACATTTCTACGGTTGTTACCTGCTCCGAGGCTGCAGCAGGTAAGCGGCAGAACAAAGCTCGGGGCAACCACGCGCGGGAAGCCATTCTAAGCTGCCTTGTATTGATTCGGCCCTCCTGTCCATCAGACCACAAGAGAGCAGGGCCTCCGGGTAATTCGTAGTAGATCACCAAGGTTTTTTGACTCCCAGTAGTTTCAAGAGGACAAGGTAAATTGCAGGGAGTCTAAATTGCTAGTCTGGTGCTAATTGCTTATTTTTCACTAATTTTTCAAATTAGTAACAGGTTGCTTTTGACCAAGTTCTTGCTCCATTCCACTGACCAGTTTGAAAATATTGTCATAAAGCCCCTGATCTTTGGTAATCCTAGTTCATGGAGTGCAAGAGGTAATGAACCTGCCCCACAAACCACCATTTTGTGTTTGGCTCAGGACACTAGTCCTCAGCATTGTGGCAAAAAGCAGAGTAGATCCTGCCAACCCGAAGCCTGCGCATCCCTGCTCTCAAGCAGCACCCATTCCAAAGAGAGGCTGTGGCCCTTCCCCAACCCCTGCGGCCAGAGTCCTTTCACTCAGGAGGCTGGGACTCCACTCAGAGGCCTTCCGCACACAGGACTTGTGCTCTGCCACCGACCACTGAATCCCTCGAGTCTCAGAAATCGTGCCCTCAAATCTCTTTGCATGGAAGAATCATTCCACTGAGAATGGACTGTTAAAAGAGCGGTGCCAGGCTTGCATCCTCTGCAACCAGAGAGAAACCTCCCCCGAAAAAAGCTATTTCCTTTTGAGATACAGAACTGGCCAAATGGGTGGATTTTGCTGGGAACCTCCTTCCTTGGTTATGGAATTGGCCAGTGAAACTTTGCACCGGATCTTCCGTCCAAGAGCATGGAGAAACCTAGCAGAGACGCACTGCTGCCTCTGCGTCTGCCTACCGTTTGCATCTTGCACCCCGGTGAGTGCCCCGACGGCGGCTGCGGTTTCACCGGACAAGACGATCTGCCCTCCGCCTTGCAGGGTGGCTTCCGCAAGCGTGGCGACGGCATGGGCAGCGGCTTCGCTGCAAGAAAAAAGTGACAACGCAGGCGGTTACCCAAGGGGAGGTGTATGACCTGGGAGAGACCTCCTTTTGCCCAGCCTCCCCCGACCAGGAGTTCCACCGGGGGGTTGGACTACAACACCCCACATGCTTCCTGCTGGCTGGGGCATGCTGGGAGCTGCAGTCCGACACCTCTAGGCAGCACCAGGGTGGCTGCGCCGAGGCAGTTCCTCGCGCCCTTACGGACGCCTCTCAGAATGGGAGCATGTGAGCGATGGTCACGGAGCTGACAGTGATGGGGGGCCGCAAGGACACCATGCCGAAGATGCTGCTGAGATACAGTGTGGGAGGCCGGAGGGAGAGAGCGGAAGGTGGGGCGGGGAGCCTGGGGAAGCCCAGGTTCTACCCCGCCCAAGGCCGCCGTCACATTGCGAGAGCTACGGAATCTGGACACACCTGGTTCACTTGTGCTACGGTCCAACTGAGAAGGGGGGATTCGCTGCATTGTGTCCTCTGTTTCCCCTTTCCCAGGCAGAGGCTGAGGCAGACGTGACATGCGCAGACATCTTCCCACCACCCCCTGGAAGAAGAATGCCTTCCTCTCCCTTTCTCTCGCATCCCCACTGCCCAGTGTGACAACTGAGAGCCGCCATCTCTCCCCGGCACAATGAGCACTCAAGCCAGCTCAGGTGCTGGGAGGTTTGTTAGAACGATCTCACGGGACGCCATTAATCCGCTGCCGTGAGGAGGAGGCCGGCACGGGGGCCTCGTTTTCCCCACAGCAAAGCAGCCCCTCGTGCCACGCCTGTGCCGCTGCAGAGCCGCTCCGTGCAGCCAGCCCGCAAGCCACCGGCGGACGACTGCTGCCGACGGCGGTTGCAGGGCTGCGGCAGCCGCCCTCTGCCCCCACGGCACCCGCGCCTGTGCCCTGCGCGGTGCTTGCGGCGCCTCCGCCCCAGCCACGCAGCTCCTTCTGGATGCTGCAGCCACGGACTTGCGCACGGAAAGCTGCCTGCGTGGAAACACGGCAGACACCATCACGGCCGTCACCGCCTGTTATTTCCTGAGGGGGGGCGGCAGCTGGTGCGGAGCAGTGGCCAAGCGCTTGACTCAGAAGCCAGGAGGGTCCCAAGGCTTTAAACAAGCCATTTTCTCCTAGCAGTGTGGCGATAGGAATACCGGCTGCACCCCAAGCACTCCGAGGGGAACGGATGCGGAAGGTGGCTCCTTGAGGATGGAGAGGCTGAGGGCGATGAGCGGCCTCTGCCTGAGGAAAGCAAGGTCCAGAAGCGGGCCAGTCCTTGGCAGCCCGCTTGGGTGCCCCCTGAGTGCCACACGCCCCTCGGCCCGAGGTTGCAGGGTGCCCTGTTCCGTCCCACTACTACGTATGCATCACCCTGGCCTGTTAAAAGCGCCCTCGCTCTGAAGAAAACCGACTTGGGAGGAGGCTTGCGGGTTCGCATCACTGCAAGACTGGCGGGGTCTGGAAGGAGGCACCCGCGGGCTGGGAGAGGCAGCTGGTCCGCTGCGGCACTCGCTTCCATGGCGGTGCCGGGCCCAAGGGAGCAGGGGCTCTGCTCATCGCTCCCCGTCCATTAGCAGGACGCGGGACATTTGCATCCACCTCCCTGCACACACGGCGGGCCAGACAGCCCCACGACAGCGCCTGCTGCTTTCCGTCAGAACGCTGCAGAACAACACGCTCTGTGCTTGGGCTGCATCAGCATGTGATGGTACCCTCTGTAGGAGAATGACTGAAATTCTATGCAGCTGGGATGAGTGACGGGAAACATTCCATGCAGCTGGAATGAAGATTAAACCAGCCCACGAAGTCCCATACAGATCAGCGTGGAGAGCAGAATGCCGGCCCGAGGGAACTCTGGTCCGGCCTAGCATGCCAGTTCTTCTGTGAACTGAGCACCAATAAGCGCTTTAACTTGTTAGAGAACATCACTTGAAAATTTAACTTGCTCTTGGCTTAAACTGGATCTGAGACGAGAATGAAATGGCACGGCTTGACTTCTGGCGGAAATGGGGCAAGGAATGTAGAACAGAATTGATCAGAAAATGTGAAATAGTAAAAGAAAACAGAAAAATGCATGAGTATTGGTAATCTGACACTATGGCCAAACATTTTGATTTCGACTATTCATAAGAAATGTGTTAAAATGTGTTAATGTTATAGGGTTACCTACCGCATTTGAATTTGATCTTTAAGTTCATGCGAGGAGTTTAAAAAAAAAAACAGCATGTGCTCTGTTTTAGGATTACAGAGCCCTCTAAGAGAAGGCAAACTGCCTTGATCAAAATAAATCTTGGTAAAAGCCTAGACAGAGGAAGACTTGCTTAATCACCTGGTCTTCATGGATCATAACAGATTTGCTATGACCAAAAGCTATACTGGGGGGAGGGGGTGGACTTGGCAAAGGTACCCAGTTGAGATTCCCGACAATTCTGGACAATTTTGGCCATTGCTTATGACTTGAAGATTCTTGCTTCTCTCGCAAGTGGTCCTGGAGAGTGTGGACAGCCAGGAATCCCTCCGGAACCCACGGTGAAGCGGCTCCACCTCAAGTTGTTGCGCCAGGTCTGACTGAGGAAGCTTCCCCACCCCCACCAGCGATGGCCGGGACTGCTCCGTGCCCGCCTACCTGTTGAGCGCCATCGTGACCGTGGCCCCTTGCTGCATCTCCTGCGATGCCGCCACGGCCGCTTCTGCCAAGGACGCCACTGCCTGCGTGGCTTCTGAGGCCTGTGTGGTTTGGATTGTCATCTCCCCGCCTTGTAGAGTCGCCCAGTTCTGCTCCACCTGGTTGTGGGGAGAGGATGAGACACACATTTCAGAACATTGGCCGTCTCCCAAGAAACTGTTTTTGGAGCGCTTCTCACGTCGAGGTTCAAAGACACAATTAGCACCCTCTTCTGCCTCGGTGTCAATGACAAGTCAATGACGGTGCCCACAGCTGGTTCTCTGGTGCCCGAATGAGCTACAGTCTTTCCAAAAGAGACTGTGCTGACATTAATCTGGCATTTGGGAAGGGTTGCAGACTTCAGGAAATGAGAGAAAAGGAATCTTTAATGCAAGGTACAACGTGCTGTCTTTACACAGCACTGTTATCTCACTCTGCCTCAGTGCTGACCAGTCGATTTGGCAAGGTTGTCAGAAGTCACGTGCTGCCATGCCAAAGCAGGCTTTGGCCTCTAAAGCATCGTAGTCTGGCACCCTCCAAGCCCCCAGTGCTCCTGGCCAAGCTGCCCGGGGCCAGTGGGAGCAGCAGTCAGGCTCCCGGAAGGTCCCAGATTGCGGGAGGCTGCTCCAAAGAGAGCATGGGGAGCGCATGTCAGCCCAGCCATGCACAGGAACCGCCGGGCATGCTGCGACGGCATTCGTGTTCACATTACTCCTTAGCAAAAGTGCCCCCAGCGGCATGCCTCTTCCCGAGGAATTGCTCAGGAATTGCGCCCTTCTTCTGACAATCCCCCAAGTGCACGAGGATCTCAGAGGTGCTGGGGCAACAAAAAAGGCTCCTCGGCTGGAGAACTGCAGTTGGTCAAGGAGCAGCCGGTTCTGCATCAAACAGGCTGTTGACGTGACCCAGCGGCAGGCAGCTTCCTGCAGGGCTACGCTCAAGCATAAGCCAAAAATTCAGGCGAGGGAGAAGGTGCCTGCTTTCGCTTACACAATGGGGGGCTTGTCTTCCAAAGCCTGAATCTGCCTTGCTGGATCTGAGGGAATTGTCGAGGCCCACGTCTCAAACAAAACAACCTGTTTCTAGCCGGTCTTTCACATGGAAATGCCAGCCGCTCTGGGAACAAGGCTGTTTTGTGCTGCCCCCTATCGCCCTGAGAATCCTGTCTCTCTCCAGGACAGAGTGGGACTGAGCTCTCCGCTCTGCCACAAAAGGCCGGCAGCCCTGGGCTCTGGTCCAAGAGGAGAACGGGAGAAAGAACAGGCCTTTTTCTAAAGTGGAGCTGGAGGCTCAGCACAAAACCGCTGGCAGCTGAAGAGACAGGTATGTGCAGGACCTCCTCCCCTGCCCAGCTCTAAGGAATGTTACTGGCTTTCACACACTGCGTTTCTTAGCTCTGAGACTGCTGACTTTTCTTCCTGAAATACTTTTCTGCCTTTTTCAATATGTTCTCCTCCAGATGTGTTGCTGGCAAAAGCATTCTCAGCTGCAGGCATCTTCCCAAGGAGGCTGTTTTCGAACTCTTCAGGCATTGCTCAGCATGGTTTCGTGGCTGGCCTCCAACTCCCACTTAGAAAGAGGCCTGATCCTTCTCTTGTTCTCCTCTTGGGCTGGAACCCAGGGCTCTGCACTTTTTGCGGCTAATCTCTCTGCTACCTGCCGTTGTGGTGAAGCTCATGATCTAATCCTGATTCCATATCCCAACCGAAATTGCATTATGTCCATCTGCTGGAGACTGTGAGCTCCTAGAGGAGGGCCCTGCCTCACTTTCTGCCTATTGATTCAGCACCATTGTGTCAAGTGTTATATAAGGTTCACATTAATCACAAAGTCAAGGGTAAAAGAGAGAGAGCAATGGACCAAAAGTTCTGAGCTAGAAAGTCAAAACCTCACTTTGCCAACTGTTTTGAGAACTACTTCTAAGATGGGCAGCGTGTCTTGATAAATTCACTGGCCCAGATCTTCAGAAAATATAGGAAGCCCGAAAGACATTCAAGCAAAGGCTTGGCTTGTTTGTCTTGTATAAAAGCTGCACCCAGATGAAAATGTACTCTGATAGATCCATTTACCTTTCTTTGCATGCATGGATCTGTGCCCATACAGACATAATATATAATAACTGTTTTATATATTGATTAGCTGTTTGACTAGCAGAAAAAACTCCCGCAGTAGCCACAGAACACCCAGGGTGGTTTCACACAATAACAAGAAGTCATGGTGAAATGTTACCCCTGTGGGTCGGTGGCGTTGTCTGGATCCAGTTCCACAGGTCTTGCAAGGTAGGATTAGTTTACTGAAACCATAGAGAGAATCCATGGCCTGTTCTTAGGTTTCCATGTTTCGTTGTGGCTTCTCTGCTCCTCAGGATCCAGGAGTACCACTTCACCACTGTTTGTACGGAAACACCATAGAGTCCCCCCTAGCAAGAGCGGCCACGGAAGTGACCGATTCTAATGTTTGATATCTATGGTCCTCAGCTCCCTAGCAACATATACACCTCTGATCACTGTGTTCCCATTGGCCAAGTGATGTGCCCGCTTATTTTTGGAAACAGGGAGGGAGAAGTGGAATCTCTGAAAAACTGTTGCTTTTATTTAATAGAAATGCCTGCGGATCTGGAGTGGCTGGGAAGCGCTGCAGGAGAGGGAGGCAGGAACCTGCTTCAGAACTGCAGCCAGCCTACCAGGAAGAGGCTGCTGCAGTCCAAAGGCAAGACTAGAGAAAGGAAAGGGATCTGCAGTGAGGCCAGGAAGATGGAGAAGGGAGCGAAGAGGCCACGCTGCCTCGGTAACCGCGCGATCGTCTGACAGGTAAGTTCAGGCAAAGATCTGCACTCCATGGAAACAGAAGCACCATTGTTTGCTACGTCATGCGATCCCAGCCCGAGTGCGCTGTATGTCTCAGAAAGCTAAATGGGCTGAGATTTCAGAAAGGCAGAAATGTAAGATGTACGTGTAAAATGTCCTCAGAGTTATTTGGTTTTGTCAGCTAACAAACTAGCCCTTACCTCTCCATCAGTTACCGCGGAGTAGTTGACCTGTGCGACCGTAACTGTGGTAGGCAATTCGGAGGCATCTGCTAAGGTGGCCACTGTCGCCCCTGTGCCCACCTGCAACACAGAACCACAGAAAGGTCGTCGTGAGATGGACCACTGCGCTTTTGGCTAAGGCCACGTGCAGCATGGGGCCGAAGCCAGCAATCACAGACGCCCACCCGTGTGCCCATGTGGATGCTTGACCTGCTCCAGTCTTGCAGCTGGGGGTGTTGGTTTAGAAAAAATAGTTCAAGTGAGAGAGAAAATGCATGATGGAGACAAGCCATCTCTATACTTCTTGTAAAGTGTATTACCTGTATGGCACACATACACATAGCTTCTCCAACCTGGCACCCTCCAGCTGCCTTGCACTACAGGTTCCATAATCCCCCAGCCTCCATAGCATTGTGGTCTAGCTCAACTGAAGGGCACCAGCCTGGGGGAGCCCAACTTATAAGCCAAAGCTTGAGAAAGCTCATTTTGCTTAAGACACACTGAAATCAGCTAGAGGGCGAGTAACTGTGTCCCACTGTCTGGATCAGGTCCTTCTCTTCATCGCCATGGCAAAGCATTGCCGTGCGCGAGGCACTCCGGATGCACCGGTTGCTGTGGATCCCGTTCCACGGACTGACATCTGGATAAGTGCACTCAGGATTCCACACGCCACACCCTCCTCTAGAAATTAATTATTTGGGCCATCACGTCCAGACCTGCAGCTCCCGGCACAACCCTGCCGTTGTTCTTCAGCTGCAAACAGCAAGCGCTTGCACATCATCGCAAGGTTTGCTTGCAGTCTGTGTGCACGCCCCACCAGGGTTTCTCTGGACCCATGGATGCGGTGCATCAGCTGTGGGTGGGGCCGCTTGAAGCGTCGCATGAGTTACAACCACTGCGGCAGGCACTGTTTTTGATCCCATGTTTTAAAAGCAGTATTTTAATTTCAAAATTCTCTCTCTCTCTCTCTCTCTCTCTCACTTTTATATACCACCCGAACAGCCCAGAGGGCTCTCTGGGTGGTTTACAAACATTAAAACCCCACCAGTCCTAAACAAATAAATAAATTGGCTACACCACAACTGAGTATAAAATAACATGGTTAAAATGAATTAAATAAATATACCATTACAATTAATTTATTTTAAAATATCGGTCAAATAAAAAGGTCTTGACCTGGTGCCGGAAAGCATATAATGACAGTGCTAGGCAGATCCCTCTAGGGAGCGCATTCCATAGTCGGGACGCCACCGCAGAGAAGGCCCTCCTCTGGGTACTCTGTCTCCTGACCTCTTTCAAAGAGGGTTCCCGGAGGAGGGCTTTGCTGCCAATCTTAGGGGGCGGTAGGGTATGTAGGGAAAAAGGCGTTCCTTTAGGTATCCTGGTCCCAAGCCAGTTAGGTGTTTTTAAAATGAAGGTGATACATACAGCTAAAATGCTATAATGTGTATTTCTAATGTGATTTCTAATTAGAACTAGGAGGGCAGTGAGCAGAAGGGGTTCTTTTGTTTGTTGTTTGGCAAGTCAGCACCACCATGTTATCATGTTGTAGGGCTCGAACGCCAGAATACAGAAACTAGCGTTATAGGCACTACAGCACCGCATTTCTCGTTCCCCCTGTGAAGAGAGGTGCAGTGGTGTAACACCCCTAGTGCCTATTATATCCATTTTCTATTGTGATGTTACGGTGCTGTACCTGGGCCGCCACCCGAAAAGGGTGGTTTAACTGGGAGTCCTGCACTGAATAGGGAATTGGCCCTAGTGGCTCTCTGGCCTCTTCCAACTCTACTGTTCTTTGATTCCAAGAACATAATGCAACTGATTTTTTTAAAAAGATTAAATAAACATTTCTGCTCAGTGCCCTTCTGATGGTGACCAGAACAGGCAGCTTTCTTTAAAACACTTTCTGAAAATTACTGTCATGGTGTTAATTGCGCCTCTTTTTCATTTTCTTCCTTAAAACATTCTAACCAGAAAATATTTTCACAAGAAAGAAAAGACAGATGAAAGAAGCTCCCCGAAAAGCAGAAAAAGTCCCAGCACAAAAGTCATGAAGTACGTGTACTAAGTTGCGATAAATTCCCTTTTCCCTACTGACATCAAAACCACACCCTTGAAAAGAGATGAGAAAGTAGCACTAAAGACATCTAAACCTGTGGATGCTGCATTTCTCTTTTGTTCTTATGGGGGGAAAACCAGACTGTCTGAATAAAGGCAGAAGAACCACAGGGAAAATGCAGAATGAGAATGCTTAGATGACGGCGCTGTGTGGATGCCCCACAAAAAGTGGATGAATGGAGCACAGTAATCCTACACCAAATCCCTGGATGGGAGAAACACCATGCCCTGCACGTCACAGACACGAGTGTGCTTCCTGGAAGTTGAAACGTACTGGCTCTGGAACTCTGTTTCCGGGGCCACAAGCCCAGTGTAGGATTGTACGACTAACATCAGCTGAGTGTACACGTAATGAGAGTTTTACTTAGTGCTGTGGAACGAGACCCAGGCCACACACCCTTGGGGTCTCAGCTCGGGGCTCTGGGCTGTAAAGCCCGCTTCCGACCCAGAATCTGCCCTCGGAAGGAAGGAATGGCACGGCCCTCACCTGGATGAGCGAGACTGTGCCGTCGGGGTTGCTGAAGGTCTGGACCACAGTTTGGGACGGAACCAGATGTGCTATACTGTGTGTGGCTGTCGCCGGCTGCGTCTGCTGATCCTCAAATGCGTAGAGCAGGTCTTCCCGGCCGTGCTGCTTGTAGCAGTTCTTGACAATGGTCCTCAGTGCCTGAGTCCAAGATACCTGCCGGATGGAGGGGGGCAGAGAGAGAAAAGGGCTCAGGCCTTCCTGGGATTCTTTCTGATCGGCACTGGCAGCAGAAACAGCAACTCACACATAAAGAACTGGCTGGCCTCGGCAAGTGTCCTGAAGGGAGAGGTGGAGCTTCTGGGAAGCTGTAGCCCGTCAGAGCAGGTTTAAAGCAGAAAAAGGCTCCTGAGAGAGGCTCAAATTGAGTCTCAGACCCCGGGAATCCCCACCTGTGGACCAACTGCTTTCAGCACTTTTTAGAGGCCCTCGGATGACCACGGCTGCTGTGGGACCCGGGCAGGCTTGCTCACCCATCCGGAGCCTGCTGCCACATGAAGGGGCGATTCTAGCCTTCACTAGTGATTGTGGGAACAGCATCACCGGTTTATCACACTCTAAATTAAGCCAATACAGATCAGTGGCATGCTCAGTTTGGGGGTACATAAAGGTGCGAACTGCTGGAGGAGATGCCTGCGAGTCCCTTGGACCACAAGGCGATCAAACCGGTCAGTCCTAGAAGTGATCAACCCTGACGGCTCTTTAGAAGGCCAGATCCTGAAGATGAAACTCAAATACTTTGGCCACCTAATGAGAAGGAAGGACTCCCTGGAGAAGAGCCTAATGCTGGGAACAATTGATGGCAAAAGAAGGAGGGGGTGGCAGAGGATGAGGTGGCTGGATGGAGTCACTGAAGCAGTGGGTGTGAGCTTAAGGGGACTCCAGGGGATGGTGGAGGACGGGGGGCCTGGAGGAGCGTTGTCCATGGGGTCACGATGGGTTGGGCACGACTTCACGACTAACAACAACAACAAAAGGTGTGAACTCAAAGGCTTCACAAACTTTCCCCAAATGACCACATATTGGAGCAACTGCCCATCTTGATTTGTGCTTGTGAATGCTAAGTCCTATATCATTTGTATTATGTTTTATATTATTCTTATTTATTTATGTAAGCCATCCTGAGGCCTTCGCGACAGGACGGCATATAAATATTCTAAATAAATAAATGGCTTGGGCATCTAAAGCATCATCTTGTTCCACGTGGAACACAGCTAGTTAAGAATGTACCCGAGGTGCTTTCCGGCCGCTCTCAACACCAGAGTTGGCTAGCTGTGACAAGGGCCTTTTTGGCTGTGACCCCCTGTCATTGGGACGCTCTCCCAAAAAGGGCTCACTACCTAACATAGGGCGTTTTAGGTACTGGATAGAGACTTCCTTTATTTGACTGGTTTGAAAAAACAAGTCTGTGGCTCTTCTGTTCTTATAGTAACTTTCAGATTGTTCTTATTTCTCACACAAATGCTAGCCAGCTTGCTGAGCTGTATGGCAGGGCAGAATTTTGAAAAATAAATCAATATTTTGTTTTGAGTTATACTTCACAAAGAGTTTATCTGCAGTTGCTTCAAAAGTGGTCAGCCCCAGAAATGGGCAATCAGCCCAGAAGACAGAAAGAAGGGCTTCTGGGGCACAGAAATTGTCTAAATAAATAAATAATAAATAAATAAAACCTTAGCTGCTGATGTCTTCCTGCCTGTGGATTTATGTCATTTTGGATTGTATTACATTTTGAGGGTGTTTGCTATTGTCAATAAGGCTAAAAGCGAACGATCTTATACCAGTTTAGACAGAAAAAAGACCCACAATTCCTAGTGTGCTCCAGATGGTATAGGGCATTCTGGGAGTTGTAGGACTTCCTCTCTGCCTTAATTTGCATAGTACTGTGTTCTAAGAGGCCGTGTTTATAGCGGATATTATTCTTCCATTCTAAGGCTACAATACTAACCACATTTACTAGGAAGTTAGCCTGAATGTAGAATTTAGTTTGGGATTGCACTGCATATCCCGTAACTACACATGAACCCTTCCAGGCCAATGCCCTCCAGATGTCATGGACCACAATTGTCATCCTGGCGCCGGCTGATGAGATGTAGCCCAAAACATCTGCAGGGTACTGGGCCGGGGAGGCTGCCACAGGCCTCTGACCTAGCGGTTCTGATCCAGGGATGCTCAAGAATGCATCAAGCCACCTGACAGACCAGACCACTGGCTGGGAAGTTGGTCAGAGGAAAAGAAACGCTGCGCCAGGGGAGAACACAGATGATACCATCGCTGCTCCTTGCACGCCCAGAAGCTATTTGAACTTCCGCTTTCAGGACACACGGGACCAGTTTACGTCAATGCAGGTGGGGTGGGGAGCCAAGGCTCCTGCTGAAGGCCGAGGGAACCACCGCAGGGCCCACCCCTCCAGGATGTTCTGATGGCCGCCAGCAAAAAAGCAGCTGGAACAACCTGATGCATGCAAGTTCCGCAGGCTGCAGTGCTGCAACCGGTCCGGGATGATCCAGGCCGTACTGCAACAGGATGCTGCGGACGGGTGGCAGGGAAGAGCTGCTCCAGCCACAGCCCCTGCTGGAGTGCTCCTGGGCGGCCCCCCAGAGGCACAGAGCTGAGCTACACACACCTGTGGCCGGACCCAGGACGGCGATTCTCCGGGGTTCTTACCTGCTCCATGCCTTTTGCCAGAACAACTTAACCCAGCCGGGTCTATAAGCCCAGCCGTCCCATTTGCCACACCAGGGAAGCGCCCTGTGCGGAGGCCAAGGGGCATTCAACACACACCCTCTGCTTCTGCTCCTCTGTGCGGACGTCACTGCGAACGTTGGCCCAGGGGATGTCCTCAGGCCACCAGACGGGCTTGCAGCTCTCCTTCCCCCAGCCGGGCTTCCCACGCCCCGTCGAGTACTTCAGCATTTCAGGGATGAAGGCCCGCAGCTGCGCCTGCGGCATTAAAATAAAACAAAGGTTTCACAAACCGAAGCTCTGCGGAAGCAGCTTGCTTCGAAGCAGCAAAGGAGAGCGCTGGGGTCTTCTTTCCCAGCTGCATCTCCACTGCCCTTGGATCGGTCTGAATGTTGGACTTCGCCCCACCTGGCTTGGCTTCAAGGCCAGTTTGGGGGCGCAGCAGAGGCTGGATGTATGAAAGATCTGGGAACTGATTCCAATGACATACAGCCTGGTCTTTGGGGAGAGGCTTTTAGAAACAGAAGGATCTGACCGCCTTGACTGAAAATAAAACTCTAGCTCTCCTAATGCCCTTCCATTGCATGAGAAATACTGCAATACTGTGCACCAGCCTTCCCCAAGCCAATACCTTTGAGATGTGTAGTTCTACAGCTTTCAGCAGCCCCAAACAGCCATGCTTGCTGGGAATGCTGGGAGTTATACTCTAACCCCTCCCAATGCTGGGAGAAAGCTGCTATATTTAGTTTCAGGGAACCTCAAAACTCCATGGGCTGGAGCAATGGCCCTAAGAAAAAGGATTACAACATCTGGACCTGTTTAGCTTAGGAAAAAGACCAGTAAGAGGGGACGTGATGGAGGGTACAAAATTTTGCATACTGGGAGTCAGGAAGGAGAAAGGGAAGCTCTCCACATACTGCGTAACCTGGGAATTTGCCACCATAAGAAGCAGGGATGTCCTCCAGCTTGGACTGCTCTGGGAAGGCACTGGGCAAATACATGGAGGAGACGGCCGCCAGTGGCTACCGGGCACGATGGCTGTGCTCCTTCTTCATGCAAGGCAATGTGCTCTCCAGGCTGGTTGCTCAGGGCCATGGGTAGGAGAGCGCTGTAGTACTCATGACCTGCCTGCGGGCTTCTCACTGGAGCATCGAGAGCAGGGGTCCTCAAACTGCGGCCCAGGGGCCGGATTCGGCCCGCCATGCCCATCTGGACCCCCTGTGCGTGTGCCCGCGCCTGTGCCCGCCACGCGGGGAGGCAGCGGTTCACTCACTCAGAGAAAATGATCTGCGAGCGAGCGAGCCGCTGCCTCGTGCACCCGCCTCAGCATGGGTGCCCGCGCGCACCGCACCAGGCTTCATGCACTGCACCGGTCCGCGCGCACCACTGGCACCACTTTTCCGGCCCTTGCCCGGCACCAGCACCTTTCAACTGGCTCCCTGGTGGAAAAGCTCGAGGACCTCTGATCCAGGGCCCCACTGAGGGCACAGAACGCTGCGCCAGCTCCAGGACTTCTTCTGCACAGACACTGAATGTGTATGCTGCGATCATAAGGACTGAACATTATATAAAATGCACTAGTAACGTATATTACATATAATGTTATGTTGTGAGCCGTCCTGAGGCTTTTTGCAACAGGACGGCATATAAATATTCTAAATAAATAAATAAAGCACTGAGTCATGCAGGAGGCACTTTTGCTCTCACTACCAAGGCTTGTCACGGCCTTGGTTTGTGCTCTCTCGCTTGTGCACAGACGGGGAAAGGGCCCCGATCCTGATTAAGGTCCAGTGTTGCCAAGCCATATGCAGGACTCCCCATGCGAACACCCTCACGGCACTCATCGCGCAAACCGTCGCATCACCTTTGGCAGCAATTGCTTTCAGCAGCTGCTTTGAGAGCCTAGCTGAACATTATTGGACAAAAGGAGGGGGAGATGTGAGCTCTACTGGGGATGATGGGTGTCTACCAGTTGCTGGGGACCTTGGGCAGGTGGGTGTTGTTGCCTTCCTGCCCGGGCTGCGGGATCTTGGAGGCTGCTGCTGGCCCGTGTGCGAACAGGAGGCTGCACCAGACAGACCCGGCTTTAGTCCATCCTGGCTTTTATGCTCATCTGGAGGTCACCAGGTGGGAGAAGACTGGCATAAAATGAGTGCACAACGGAATAAAGAGAAAACACCTCAGGATGTTGGAAAAATGATCCTTTGTTTCTTGAAGTAGCCCAGCCCAGCCCTGTGCCATATATTTGGCTCTTCTTTGGGGACAATTTTTCAAAACATAAAAACCAACCAACAAAAAACAACTACAACAATCTCTGACTGGTTGCAGGATTTATCTTGCAAGCATATCTTCTCAAAGGTCTCTGCAGAATCTTTTTTTACCGAGAAAATAACCCCTACAGAAGGTTCAAGTGTGTTTTCACAATGCGTGAAGTAGCACATTTGGCCTACTTCAAGGTTGGGTTCACTGGAATGTTTTGGATGTCCTCTGGTTTTGCCTGGCCGTAATGTAACTGCATATTCCTGCACTGGACTGGGAATGTCTTCTTCCCTTCCCATCGCAGGCATCAGACACAGAGCTGGCTGTTTGCAGGGGAGGGTCTCTGTTTGTTCCGCCACAGCAGGCAGCATCTATGGACACAGCACGGCAGCATCCCCTAGTGACTGCGTAGAAGCATCTCACAGGAACAGCAACACAGCACCTTCGAAACAGCAGGCGGGGTGAAGGATGGGGCCTGCCTGAAACGCAGCCCCCCAGCCACACCCGCCGTGAGACTCCACACGAGGCTTCCACACATTTAGAAGGGGAGGTGGGCGGGAATGCTGGCAGACCGCCAAGGATGGATTTGTGGCCAGAAAGAGGTGGCAGATATTCTCCATTATGGATGCTATTAGCATCCATATAATTCCTCCAGGGATAGGTTTCCGAAAGAGATTCCTGAAAGTGTTCTTCTTTTGAACAGTAGGCTTGTTATGTGTCAGGCAAGAGGGATAATTATATGACACAGATGCTTGTTCTTGCACTCAACAGAACAAGAGACAAAATTAAGTATACAGAATGGGGTTCAAAGGGATGGGCAACACCTATCCTAAAATGTACCTTCCAGTCTTATTATGGTGCATGGCCAATAGCTTTTAGCAAATAAACTGAACTGGCTGACATCTCCTGGACATGTAAACACTGTCAAGCTCCATCTTCTAAGATCTGCTCATGCTGCATGCCAGAAAAAAGAGCAGATTCAAAGTATGCCAATCATGAAAACATTTGCAAATATGCTCGTTTTGGATAACCACACTTGGGTTTTGCATGCTCTATTCTGAAGAGGATGTTTTAAATTTGCAAGAGAGAGAGAATGAGAGAGAGAGAGCGAGTGAGCTTGCAGAACAAAGGTTTGGAGAGGCCGTTGAGGGAGCGTGCACGACAGGACGGTGGCTCAAGAGAAAAAGGCAGAGAAACGTTTTTCCAGGCTCGTTCAAACCCACCTACCATGCATCCATACCAGTCTGAAAGAGTTGTAAAGCAGTAGCAATCACGACTGCAATTTCCAGGTGTTCAAATTTCTATGCCAATTCAGACCCAAGCTTACGACGTTCTAGCAAAAGACAACCTGGAATATATGATGCACCGAGGATGCCACCCCCAACCCGGTTCCTCCCAGATGCGTTCTGATCAAAGCTCCCTCCATCCCATGACTAGGGTGGCTGGCTTCACACCACAGAGTTCGATTTCAGGCCGCCTGTGCTACAGATGGCACTGAGACAGTTCATTCACACAACCCTGCTGAGTTAGAATCAGCGGCGAAGTCAAGCCTGCCTGGCCTGTCACTAGGATTGGTAGCCTTCCACTCATGGAATCACAAGAACAGCATCTTCCTTCCAAACAGTGCACTTTTTTCCTGATTCGTTTTGTTCTAAGCACCACCTTTGGTAGAATTCCTTCCCTCCGTCCCTCCCTCCCTAAAAATCCAGCCTTTCCTCCAGAGACGCTTGAGGGAGTTTGGAGGAGTACGATTGCGGACAGAAAGGTGGCAGTGTAAACAATGAAATGGCGGCATTCCAGGCTGCAGAAACCACAGCGGACCCCAAAAGGGTGGCGGGACGGCTGGGCGGGATCTTTGTGCCACTGGGGAGCAAAGGAGAGCACCACCAGCAGTAGGAATCCTGGCCCAGGCTTCTTCACGGCGACCGGAAGATCACGTGAGCTTGTGAGCGCCTGTCGCAGACCCCTCTCGCCCCTCCAGAGGGCTTGACCTGCGGCAGCTCCCCAGGCAGGGGTCTCCCCCCCCCCCCCGCTGGCACGAGGGTGTGGAACCTCAGGGGCGCACTGCTGGGGCTGCATTCCAGCAACGCCCAGGGCAGGGCCGCTGTCTTTGGTTTCCTCCCGCTTCTCTCTCTGTGCCCTGCAAGGGACTGCTCTTGCCAGAGGTCTGAGCTGATCGCTTGCAGGGAGCTTTCGACGAAATGAAGCTGGTGGCCCTGTGTGGCCAGGGGGCTGTAGGCTGACTCCCCCGGATCTAAGCAGAGATGCCAGAGGCTGAATCCGGGGGCTGCATGTGCTTTTCCTCGGTCCTGCGCCCCCTCCTCATTTGTGCCCGCTCGAGGTAGCGCTTTCGTTGACTTGGAATGCAAATGACTCATGCTCCAAGGAAAAACACGCCAAGAGGAAGCAGCAACAGTGGCTGAGGCAGTCCAGGTGAGGCCGAATGTCACCTCGACGTCAAAGAGCACACCTTGCGCTCTGCAATCGCAAGCACTGCTCCTTGCTTCCAGATGGATTAATTAGAGGGCCTCAGGAGTGGAGAGCCGTGTGCCACGGCGAGCGCTTGTTAAGGGCCTCAGAACCACCAGGGAGGCAATCAAGGGGAGTGCTGCAGCCTGGCCTGCTCGGGCACGAGGCCTCTCTAATTATCCGCATAACAAGGGCAGCGATCAGCACTTCCTCGGGCCTCCTGCTTCTAAGAACCTAGCATGGGCCCCTAAGTCAAGGACGGCACTTGGGGGCCAGGTGGGCTCAGCACTGCCTCGACCCTCTGCTGCTGCCCGCAGCTCGTCTCCTAGCTCATGTGGCCTCTCAGACAGTGAAACGCGCCACCAGCCGTGGCACGAAAAATCACCGCTGCGTATGCCCCCACTGAAGCTTTTCTGCACCCTTGTTCCCACTCCTTGTATGTTCTGCTGGTGTTCACTGAATTTCCCATTGGTATTTTCACCAAATCTTAACAACCACCTTTGTCATTAACAGATTCTAAAACTTGGTGCAGTATTTGCCAGATGAGAAGTTTTCCTCTTCTTGGAGAAGGAAAATGGGTCGGGCTGACGGGGGCATCTCTTTCAAAAATTACTGGTGATGCCTGGAAGTGTGAGGGAAGATGCCCTGGGCTGGGCTCCCCAGACTCCAGCCTGCTCTGCACTGATCCAGAGTCCAAGTTCCTGGCAAGCATGTCCAGCATTTGCGGGGCATGTGCCGCGAATTAAGCCCCATGTGCTGTGCAAGCCGGGCCCCTTCCCCTAAACCATGCGCAGCCGCCGATGGACTGGCTGCAACCGGCACCAAAGAGGGCTGGTCACAAGGGACGCACCGGGCAAGGAGGCCCTGCGACTGCCGGCAGCGCTCCTCTCATGTGCTGAAGGCCGCTTGCGAAGGGCTCGCCAGGAAAGGAAAGGAGCCCCCCACGACGACAGCCGCAAAAGAAGGGGGCTGGTCTCTGAGTGTTTGTGGAGCTCCTCTTGGCTCAGCCAAGTTTGGGGGGCCAGGCCAAGCACAAGAGGAAGCCCATGAATGCTTGGAGGGAGGGATTCCGATAAGGTGAGGTGGCTACCTGTGCCACCAGAGAAGCAAGTCGGCCTGCTCACTACCGACCAGCGAGGCTGCTGTACGTTTCACAAAAAGAAGCGTCTTCTGCAGAGGCCTGAAGGTGTGAGGGAACAAGAAAGCACACACCTTCACGGGAACCATTATTTATCTCTAATAAGCAAACTACTCCCTTGGTGCTGAGCACGTGGTGCTCCCCACTGCGGACGGTTGCATCAGGACTTCAGGACGGTCCCTCCAAGAGAAAGCTCTCCGTCAGTCCACATTCTGTCACAGTACATTTATGCCATGAAAGGTTGTAGAAGATTGATGGGAAGGGAGAGAACTGACTGCCACTCAGTGAGGAAGCAGGGCTGGGAAGAGGGCTGGCAGGCCAGAACGGCCCACTCCCCGAAACTCGCACAGCTCCTTGTTCTGTCCTTTCCACCCTCCCTCTCCAATATATTCCTGTTCAGGATTTTTGCTCCTCCACTTCTGACGCCCTTTGTGTTCCCCACCCCCGGGTCTCCTGTGCTCCTGAATGACAAGGCCCACATTCCCCTGTGGTTTGATCTGTCTGGAGCTCAGGTTTAGAGTTGACCTGCTCACTCACCCTTCCTTTCTCCTTGGAATGCCAGCTCCATCCCTGGCATTCCAAGCAAACGTTCGGCAGACCCCTCCCCCAGTCCCCAGCTCCACGCGGAAAAGCTGCACCTGCTCACATTCATCCCACATGAGCCCCTCCGCTCTCTCCTGCCCAACTCTCACTGTTCGCAGCCCTGATTTTAAATGTTGATTGTAGGCTCCTTGGGGCAGCACCCCGTCTTTTGCTTATCTTACTATGTATAAGACTGTGTACCCTTATTCACGTACATTGATGAATATTATCTGCATAATTTCCCCAGCCACCTCAGTTTGCTAGAACTGGCAAGAATGGACTTGCAGCGGGACCTTTTGTCCCTTTTGAGGCAATCCAACAAAAAGCAGCAAAGCGAGGTACAGTAAGATCGATCGTTACAAAACTTTACATTCATATAACTGCCCACAGCTGAACTCTTTGGGGAGTTCACCACCTTTTAAGTCGCCCATCCAGATTTCAACCAGGCCCAACCCTGCTTCGCTTCCAAGATTAGGCAGGATCAGACACCGCAGGCTATAGGGAAGCTACATGGGGAGGGTGACACACTCGTTCAAACAGCACGTCAGTTTTACACGATTGTTACTCAAAACGGCCACTCTAAAAGGCTTCTTAGACAGATATTCACACAGTAGTTCAGCCTTGCAAGCAGCCAGGCTGACTACGTGGTATTAGGACGGCCTGAATTAGCACGAAGATCGTCAGATTCCACTAAAGCGTCCATTGCAGAATCACCACATGGCCTGGCAGGGGCTCTGACGAAGCTTTTTTCTAACCCAACCGCTTGGACCTGGGGCTATTTCATCTCAAAGCCACAAGCTCTAGCACAGAGCGATTCCCATCGGCAGGCTTTCTGAGCACGTAGCATGGATGCATTGTTCCAGGGGCAGCGTGGCAGACAGCTGAGCGCATTACGAACATGCGGACTCCTTTGCAAAGCTACGGGAGCCGGGGGGCCTTCAGTACCATAAGCATCACTGGCTGTTCTCCCGCACTTGGCAGAAAAGGCCGCATCAATGGGAACACCTTATCTCAGAGCCACTTAGCAGAGCCACTGCGACTCCCCCTGGAGGGAAAGGAGTAAGCACATCTCCAAGGAGCTGTGTATCTATGAGAGTCACAGAAAGAGGGATTGATTCTGCACTGGAAAAATCAATAGGCCAGAGACAAAGCTCCCCTGTGCTGCTGTTTTTCAGCTTCCACCCCCACCTCGCGGCTTACCTGGGTCATCTTGTCCACAGAGACTGGAATACCATCTATGGTGAGAGGCGGCAATTCTGAGTTAACCTCTTGTGGCGCAGGTGCGTGTTCCAAGAGTGCCGACTCCAAATCTTCCAGGATCATGCTCTTGTACTTGCGCACCTGTGGGGAAATCAGGCAGGCTCAGGTAAACAAGGTGAAGAGCAACAGGAGAGCGGAGAATGCTAAGTAACAGGAAGGGGGGTGCATTCCCCTCCTCGTGGTGCTGCACGCCGGAGCAAGCAAACAACACCGCAGCTGCCAGATGAAAATACCCATTGGCCCCGGAGCTCATGCTGGAAGTGCGTTGAAGTGAGATGATGAAACTGCTGGCAACACTCAGAAGCGGCACATGCAGAGGATTTCCAGAGAAGTTTGCGGGCAGGACCGGATTGGCCCAAGCCGTCCCTGCACATCTACCAAGGGCCCCCGTTAAACTGACCCAGAACTGCCGTGGGGCAATCCTGAGCCCTGGCTCACCAGCCTCAGGCCTCCTTGTGTGAAGGGCATGATTTTCCGAGTCTCTTCTGACTTTGCAGTGTGCAGGAGACCCTTCCTCCCTTTTGTGGGGGGCTGCAGTGCTTGAGCAAAGAGCCCTGCAGCCTGAGGCAGGTGCCCCGGCTGTTGAGCGACCTGGAACTGCGTTTGTCCACTAAAGCTTTGTCTTTGCACTGCCTGCCATTAAGGCCCCAGCCTGAGAAGGGGCCCTGCTCGGCTCCCTGACCTGGGGGCACCCACAGGTGGCCTGAAGCTGCTCAGGTCCTTCAGGGCAGCTCTTGGTCTCCTCCTAAAACAAAGGGAAAGGCCCCAGAGAAGCACAGGAGGAACACCAAAAGCTCGGAGGAAGCCTTCTGCTGTGGAGACTGGGCACATCCAACCTGGAGGGAGAGCATGGGAGTGTGGTGTAGTGGTTAGGAGTGTGGGACTCAGGCAGTCTGGGTTCTAGTCCCTGCTCAGCCGTGGAGCCCACTGGGTACATTAGGACTGTCGTTGTGAGGATAAGACTGAGAGGAGGAGGAGGAGGAGGAGGATTACCTAAGCTGCCTTGGAAGGAAAAAGGCAGGATACAAATATACATAAATAAAGGGGATGGATCTAGTACATCTGGATGTTTAAAACTGCATTGGGGAGAGGGTGAAACTGATGCCATCCACACAGGACAGGAGGAGCCACAGATTTTCCAGTGAGGAGCTGTGAGATTGCCAGGTGCCAAGAAGGGCCGGCTGCCCTCCTGTGACCACGGTCCTTCCACGGATCGTCCGTCTGCCCACCCCCACAGGCAGGAGTTCTGCGCATGCGCAGGTCAGTTGCTCAGTGCTCCCAGCAGCCCAGCAGAGCCTGGGTGGGAGCCGCCGGGCCTCCTGCTGGGCTCGCAGCCCCATGTCCAGCGCAGCGGGGAGCTCAAAGGGGGAGGCCCTGAGTGGGGAGTAGGCTGGCTGTGCGAGTCCACAGGAGGCCGCTCAGGACACGACCTGTCCTCCTGCTCCGTGACCTCCGAGGGCCACCCACAGGGGCAACTGAAAGCAGTGCAGCTTGCCAGAGGAGGGAGATGTCGCACCGGAGCCGAAGCGAAGGCCACCAGAAGCTGCAACAGGGCAAGCGCTGCTGTCTGGGGGTAACGCAGGAGGATGGGCAGGTTGGAGAAGCTGACCTAGATGAATTCGAGACAGAACTTTTGGAAGGAAGAGCAGTCTCGATGGAAGACCACCCCATCCTTGGGAAAATTGGCCTCTGATGCGGAGTACGTCATTCACTTGCTCTACACGTGGATGTAGCGGCAACAAGAAAGGCCTGTTTCGAACGGAGCTGCCTAAGGCCAGCTGTGGCCAAAGGTCTGAAGGGCTTTGCCATCAGTTGGGCCAACCCAGCTGACGGCTCCTAGGCAGGACAGGAGAGGTTGGCAGAACCATCTGAAGAGAGCGTGTGAGAAGACAGAATATCCCTCAGAATTATGGTTACTGAGCAGCTATCTCAGCTAAACTGATCGATCAGAGAGCGAAACCCTCGGGCTTACAAAATCCAAGACATTCAGCATATTGGGTATTGTTGAGCTGGTGCCAGAAAGGTCAGGAAACGCTTGCTTGGCAGCCTAAGAGGCCCGAGTGGAAGGGCCGTGTGAAGCTGACAGCAGTTCTAACACCTGCTCAAAGAATTCACAGTTAGTTATTCTCCGTGCTGTGAGATGCGGGGCTCTTTGGCCCAAGGGCCTGATCCTCCTGCTGCCTATCAAAAGGAGTTTGGCAGGAGAGCAGCTCCACTGCCCCTTCCCCCTTAGTGGAGGCCAAGCGGTGGGCACGGGAACCCTGCGGGGGCGTCTCTCCAGGACAGAAACACCCAGCTCCTGCTGGCTGACAGTGCCTTCCTGCCATGGCAGGTGCACCTTTTGAAGGCCCTGAAGAACATACACCCTCGAAAGGCAGAAGGAGGAAGAAAAATTCAGAGGCAAGAAAAGAGAGAGAGGAGCAGGAGGAGCTCTGTCAGCATCCCAGAAGGGACAGAGCGCAGTACGATTTGCATGACTGCTGGAGGTTTTAGCTGTGGGACAAATGCTCTAGCTGCTGTGACAGACGAGAAAGAACAGGAGGGAGCTGTGGCCAGAGCAGGCCCAGAGGAAGCAGGCAGGACCCCTGCCTAGAGTTCTCCTCAGCTCTGGAATGTCCCAGCCGGCCGTTCTGCGCAGGGACCTGACCAGGTGTGGGAATCACAGAGGCCAGAGAGAGAAACGGGGCACTTCCCGTGGCGGCAGGACGTGCTTGAAAGGCCTTCCCGGAGAAGCGTGTCAGTCCTTCTCCCTCCTGGCCTTTGAGAGAATTTTGAAAATGCATCTCTCCCTCTCTGTATTTGATGAACTGTCGTGTTCAGCGCGCTTTCAGCGAGGGTAGTCTGTGGCTATGCGGCAGCTTGTCCATGACACGAATTATTTACATATTGAATATTGTTTTGTACTGTCTGGTTATGTATTTTGTATGTTTAATTGTTGTTATAAACTCTTTATGAGAGTTTTTACCCTGAAAAAGTTGGCTATTAATCTTATCTGTCATCATTAACCGCCTGAAAGTAAGACAAGTTCACCCACAGAAAAGTATTGTGGGTAAAAGCTCCAAAAATATACATTCCATAACTAGCTTTGTAAAAAGTTGATCCTGCAACTTGCAAGCAAATTTGCATAGTTTATACAAGTGTTTATTTTACAGAATACATGGGCTGTGTACAGGTGTGGACAAATGCACACCTGCAGCCACGCAAGTATGTTGGACACAGCTGCTGGGAGGGCTTCCCCGCTCTCTTTCTCTCATGTGCGCGCGCATGCACACACCACGCACAGAGAGCATTTCAAGGCTACCTTCCCTGCCCAGAGAGCCCTAAATTGCCGCACAGGTTGCAGTGTATCCATTTAAAAATAAATAAAAGAAGCGAGGGGCAGACAGACGAGAAATTTGCTTTTCTGTTTACCTTTAAAAAGGCAATCATGGGAAAGCTCGCAGGACGCGGAGCTCCGTGCACAGCACCAGCAGGGCGCTGTCGTGCCGTCAGGCATGTGGCCTGACCTAGGAAGGCTTCAGCCCTCCCTCCTTTGGAGGTTGTCCAGAAATGGCTGCGGGGAGTGTTGTCAACATGGGCAACGCTCTCCCTGGGAGGTGAGAGGAGGCCGTCAGCTTGGTACCTTCCAGTTCTCCCATGATGAGCACTCTCTGGGGTCAGCAAGTGCGATGCACAGCCCCCCCCCCCAAATGCTATGCTGTCCCTGTCTGTTCCCCTCACAGACCAGGTTCAGAGAACATCGGTGGCTGTTTGCGTGTTATTTAAGGCATGATGTGCTGCAGAGTCTTGGGGCCCAAGCGGCATATGCAACTGCCCTGGGGTCAGGGTCTTACGTGAACCCTGAGCGCATGCACCATGCCGGGGTCCTTAAACACTCCGGAACCCATGCTTGCTGAGTCTGCATCGCACGACGACCTGTCAGCCAGAGTGGCGTAGCCAGAAAGCAGCCGCACGCACCCTGACACGCTGCAGCCTCACCTGGGTTCAAGAAGTCAAGGTGAGCCGCCATGCTGTGAGAACAGCCACAGAACCCTCTACCTGTCACGCCACCAACCTTCGCTGCCACACACGCACGCAGCCCCAGGCACGGGGCTCCACAGGCGGGGCGGGGGAGGGACCTCGGGCCTTACCACATTCTCCAGTGGCGCCGCGCCGAACACTTTGAAGACGGGGTTGGGTTTGGAGGGTGAGATGCACAGAACAATGGCCTGCTGCCCGACGCGGGTGGTGTATTCGTCCAGCGTGGCACGAAGCTTCCTGCATCGGCCGAGCAAAAGAGAGAGGAATAGTGCAGGTTAATTTTAAACAGTAAATGATCCCAACCTAATTCCAACATTTCTCTTTTCCTGCATCTTACATACACTGCCACAGTATACAACTTTTCTTGTGGTCAGGCTTAAAAATGCTGCAGGCACATCTGGTTTCGGCCAGTACCTGTCCAAACAGAACTGGGCTGCTACGAGCCAAGGAAGTCTGAGTTGCAGAAGCACCATCTGGTTTCCTTGCCTCCTGGGGCAAAGACAGTGCCTTTCCGCAAGCGCCACGGCTTTTTATACGCCGGGCCTTGACTGAGTGCCCCAGGCCCGCATTCTCTGTGCAGGTGTTAACTGCACTGACAGCAAATGGAGGGGAACCTGGCTCACCCAGGTGTGAGTTATTGGTTTGGACTGCAGTTAATTAAGCCCCAGTGTACGGACAACAGTCTAAAGAGCTGGTAGTGTTCTCTACCTGCAGCAGCATTCACTGTCCATTTAATTTATTTCGTTTCTACACTGCCCCACAAGAGCCAAAACTCTCCCAATGGTTCACAAAAATTAAATGTAGAATAAAAGGTAACATAAAATATTCAACATGCAAAACACTGAAATGATTTAAAACAGCTAAAAACAATCATCCCAGGTATGGAAAGCCCACTATGCCATTGAAAGAAAAGTCTTAGCCTCCCGAGGCAAAGATAACGGTGACACCACCCAGACCTTCCTGCCTGCCCAAAGCCAATTCAAAATGTATGGCGGAACTACAAGTGCCATACAGCTTGCGGTCTTCTAGCGACCTTCCGGGGTGGAACATTTCTGATGAGCTCCCTGTGAACCCAGAGGCTCTGTTCCAAAGTGCTTCCTTCTAAGATGACACATCCGGGGAAAGTCACCTAGTACTGCACTCATCGCCAACAACAGCTAGCCTGAGGCCGAGCAGATTTGATCTGGTCACACCTGTGACTCCCCTGTTAGCGCCCAGCAGGATCTGGGGAAGTCCCCTCACTCAGCGGACTGTTGCACGCATGCCCGAGCCTAGACTCAGCCCAACGGAAAGGCGAACCTGAGGTGGGTGAATCTGGCACACTACACCTGGACCGGGGGAAGAAAGGAGGAAAAGACCCAGCCTCAAATATCACTCAGTCAATGAATAGGGTTTAGGGTGAAACCCGTATTTGCTGCCTTGGGGATGGGCAGAATAACAGCCAGTCCTCGCCCAGATCAAAGGGATACTTCAAGGGTGGTGCGTGGCAAGGCAGGCAGCCAGCCGAGAAAGCTGGTTGATGCCATCAGGACTCTGGTGCAAAACGCGCCCCCCTCTGCAGACAAGGCATGCTCAGGTGTTTCCTCTTGGGTGAAGAGCGTTAGCAGAGCAGAGTGGCTGAGCGACCGAGCCACGAACCAGGTTGCCATGCACCTTCAGGCTGCTGTGGGAACTACGAGGGCCAGGGTGCACCCACAGACCACGATCCGTTCGTTGGCACATGCAGACAAATTCTTAAAGGAGAGGCTTGCACACAGACGGACATGTGCTTCCCTGCAAGCCGCTCCCCTCCAGCTGCCATGAATGAGGAGGGAATTCCCAAAGGGGAGGGGTGAAGCCAATTACACCAGGGTGCCTGTGCGTTTGCAGAAAGCATCCCGTTTTCAAGCCCCCGCAGGGAAGGCTGTTCACGTCCTGCAACGCCACGTGTCGAGAAAGCAGCGTGAGGTGCAGAGAAGAGCGGGCGCTGCCAATTAATTTTAAAGCTCTCTATCTGGGAGCACTTCCAACATCCCGTACCTTTTTTTGCAACCAAGAAAACATGTTTAAATGCCACGGTTCCAAGTGAGGGTGGGCAACTTGTGACCCTCCAGATGTTTTCATTTACAATTCCTACCAGCCCTTGCCAGCTGCAGGAGCTGCATCACAGGAGCTGCAGGCCAAAACATCTGGAGTGGCAGTGTTGCCAACCCTGCTCTAAAAGGTCCAAATGGCTATGAGACCATCCAATAGGTTGAGGGGGGGTTGGTTAGGGTTTCAAATAGTTATGTGACTCGTTTCCTAGCAAAAGTCTTTTTTGCAAGTTCTACAAAATGCCAGCCTTGAGAATAAAGTACACAAGCACTGTCTGACCAAGGTCATGAAAACCCAGACACTAAACTCTTTAACCCATGGACCTCAGCTATGGTCCCTGCCTCCCCTTCCTCCCAGGCCGTTCCCATCTCCACAATCCGCGAAAACCTTGTTTTCCTACTTGGCTGAACTTAAAAGCTCCCATGCATTTCTCCCTAGCCCAAGAAACTTTCTGTTGCCTCAGCTTGGGCTGCACAGATTCTTGGCCTCTTGAACCCTTTCTGTGTCCTCCTGCACGGAATGGAAGACGGCTCGTGGAGCCCTCCCATTTCTCTCTCTGTCTCTCTCTCTCTTCCCCTCCGGCCCACACAGCAGGATACTGAACGCCAGGAAAGGACAACCTAGGACTGCCCAGGTGCTTCAACTAGTTTGCACCAATGCCAGCCTGTGTGGCTAGCGAGCCAGGACCACGAGAGCCACAGGCCCGAACATCTGGATGGCACTCGCTGGCCGACCGCCGAGCGCACCCGGGCAGCTTGGCGCAAAGTCCTCGCCCGCAGGCACTGCTGGAATGATTCCACTCACACCGAGCAAGACTCTGCAACACATTGCAGCGCCAGGCCGAGGAAAACGTGTGGCGGAGCGTTGCATCAGAGGGTCCCCCGAGGCAGCGTCCCCTGGCGGGCACCGAAGCACTCTCAACAAGCGCTCCGCTCCGCTCTTCCGAGGGATTCTGAGCAGCACATTCCTGGAGAGTCCCTTATTTATTCCTCAGCCGCTTCCCCCAGACTCAGGGGGGCAGGTCATGTCCCGAGAATTCCAACACGGGAAAAAGGCTGCTTTCGCAGCTAGCAGAGAGGAGCAGGGCCACCAGGATCCACCATGGCAAAATGGCCAGGCGCAAACCATTTCCCACAGGTGCTACCTCCGTATGTGTCTGACAATTCCCATCTAGGTGTGTGCAGGGGCGGGGGGGGGGCTGTCAGCCACAGCCAGCCATTGTCGGAATGCCTCCATCACAGCCGAATCAGTGCCAGGAATGATTCCTGATGCAATACTGCAACGAGGGAGGCTGCAAGGGCTTCGGAAGGCTGATTTGCACCCTGGATTCCTTTCTGCTCAGACACAGGCTCTTTGGCAACGTCACAGTACTCTGCAAAATTGGGCAGAGGGGCACAAATATGACACACATGCAAACGCTTCAGACTCTTCTGCTTTCTCTTGCCGCTGCCGTCTCTGGTCCCCCATGATCTCTTTCTTCCATTTCTGTTTAACACTCAGGTTAGCACCAAAATATACAGACAAAGCAACTTATTCTAGGGTCCGCTTATAGGCTGGGTACTATTGATTTGAGTAAGTTACATCAGTAAAATCATACAGAAATATTTGTACGTTGGAGTACTGCAACTTGTCCTGAGCATAAGGATAAAATGACTAGAAATTTAATTTTAAAAATTCCATACTGATGGGTCTATCCAAGAAATGAAACAAAATCCAGGTGGCACAAACGTCCAGCCCCTGCCCTGGTGCAGACTGCTCTGCACCGGGACAGGCAGAATCTATGGGTCTGGAGGCTGCATTGCTCCCTTTCCAAGGCCACCAGGAGCCACTGCATCCCTCCCGCCTGACGCGCTGTGGCTGGGGTGGCGGCCGCAAAAGCCTGAAACACAGGAACACAAGCAGAGTCCTGCAGGACCAAACCTGGGCCCACCTAGTCCAGCATTCTGTTCACACAGTGGCCAACCAGCTGTCCACAACAGCACCCTCCCACCCATGTTCCCCAGCAATGGCTGCAAATGGGCATTCTGCCCCTGAAAGCAGAGCTGGCAGACAGTCACCAGCACTAGCGATAGCCTTCTCTGCCAGGAATTTGCCATTCATACCAATGGCCTGCGCTCCATCTCGTGAATGCGACTCCTAGTTTAACTCTGCACTCTGTACAGAGGTAGTTCCTTTTATCTGTCTGAAGTCTCCCCGCAGCCGGCTCCACAGGATAACCCCTTCGGGGTCAAGGATGTCTCCTGGGTCACTTGGCCACACCACATAGTTTTGTACACCTCTGTCATGTCTCCCTGATTTGCCTTTTTCCTAAACTAAGCAACCCCAGATGTTGCAACCTTTCCACAACCGGATCATATTAGTTGGGCTTTACTGTACCCAATGCATCCTTTTGTGGGTGCAGTGACCAGAACCATACAGAGTACTCTAAGTGTGGTTGCACTCTGGATTCGTAGAAAAGCAAAATTATATAGGTAGTCAATCGCCCAAAATAATTTGGTGTCATCCACAACCTGGCCACTTCACTGCATACTCCTAACTTTGGATTTATTTGTTTATTATTTGCATTTATATACCAGCCTAGTAGCCCAGAGGAATGATTATGGAAAAGTTGGAAATAATTAGTCCTAAGACAGATTCCTGTGGGACCTTCAATGTTTATTTCCTTCCACTGGGAGAATTTACCATTCGTTCCTATCCCTGCCTTCTGCTCTTTAACTAGTTACTGAACCATAGCAGCATTTCCCTTTTTGTTCCAAGACGGCTAAATTTGTGCAGGAGCCTTCGGTGAGGGACTCGGTCAAAAGTCTTCCGAAAGTCCAAGGAAACAATACCGACAGGACCACCCCTGTCCACATCCTTACTGAAACTCTCAAAGAACTCTACATGGCTAGCGAGACAGGACTTAGCTTTGAGGAAACCATGCTGATTCTTGCACAGCAGGCCTTGTCTTTCTATACGCTTCCTGAGTTTATCTTTAATAATCCTCCCAACCAATTTACCAGGGTAAGCATTCAGCTTATCATTTCCCAGATCCCACATGGATCCCTTTTAAAAATGGGTTGCACTGGCCGTTCTTCACTGCTCTGGTACCACGCCTGAACTCAGGGACATGCTACGTATTTTGGATCAGCAAGTTCACATTTGAGTTCTGCAAGACGTCTAGAATGGATACCTACTGGGCCTGGTTATGTATGAACTTCCGGTTTGACAGTGAGGTTGATAACTTCACCACTGTCTGCCTCCGTTCCTAAATCCCTTCCTGAAAACATCGATTCAGGCACAGGTATCTGTCCTGCATCTTCTGCAGTGAAGGCAGCGGAAAAGAATTAACTCAGCTTCTCCACAATCTGCTTGTACTCCTTGAACTCCATGATCACCCAAGGGCCCAGCAGCCTCCCTAGCTGGTTTTGTGCTTCTAATATATTTAAAGTAGTCTTTATTGTTGGTCCTAAAGATGTTAGCAATATGGTCCTTGACATGCTTTTATGGCATCACTCATTGCCTACATTGGCTTCCTTGGCACTTTCCCATTTAGATCTATATTTAATCTGGCAAAACTGCAGCCCCCGCCTGAGCAGTGGTTCAACGCTCGCACTTCCTGGGCCACTTTACATAGCATTAAATCCAGGGCTGCCTCCTCTCTGCTCAGTCCCTTGACCAGCTATTCTAGGGCAATGCTGCTCGCAGGACTGGGAAAAGCTCTGGTCTCTTTGCTGTGACTGCATCTACTGGGGAGGTAACTGAAATCCCTCGTATTGAATTAGTTCTGGGGCTCAGCGCTGCCCCCCATCGTGCTTCTGCAGTTTCCGAGGGCTCCACACAGCATCTTCTCTGGCACAGATAAGCTCTTCCCTGCCCTTCCAGGGATGCCTGCACCCACTGCGCCTCTCCACCCCACCAGGCTCCCGCAATGTCCGCTGCTCCCAGGCTCTCCTGTGAGGCCAGGCACTCCGAGCCACCCATTCGGGCCTGCAGGGTTCTAGTGACGACGCAAAAGCGCCCATCTGTGGTGCCCCTCCCGGGTGCCCCTGGCGTGTGCCCCTTGTGCTGTAGCGCTTAGGCCCCTTTGACGACTGTGTTTCGCCATGTGCTCACAGCCCGTCTCCTCCCCCGCCACACTGGGGGAATCGGAGCCTTTTTCATCTTCATTCCCCAGAGAAGATGATGAAAAACTTAACCCACACGAGGTGCTTCCATGCTCCTGCTGGCTTCTCTCGAGGCTGCAGCTGAAGAGCAGTTCTGACCCCTTCGTGTTTATCGTTCGCAGTCTGTGCTGCATTTTAGTTCAAGATGAAACTTGCTCTCTTGCACAGGCCCAGCTTGTCCCAAAATGTTCCCCATTCCCTAAAAAGAATCTGGTTTTTGTTAACCGCCCAGAGAGTCTTTGGGCTACCGGGGCACTGTAGAAATGAATTAGACAGAACAACAGATGTGAAGCCCCCTTTCGGCTTGAGACTCTTCAGCTCTGCTCATCTAGTTGGCCCTGTGCATGCAGCAAGAAGCATTTGAGAGGATGCCACCTCAGGTGACCCGGGCAGGCCCGGGACCTCCCACCTGGCAGCTTAAATTTGACTTGCAGGACCTTCTGGGTGCATTTCCGCTTGTCACTGGAAAGGACCGTGATCACTGCATCCACCCCAGCGCTGTCCACAAAGCAACCGAGGCTGCGCATGAGGACCCCAGCCTGGGAGGCAACGCACCACGCCACCCACACGCTGCCGAAGCATGGAACGATCAGCTCACCACTTCCACAAGCGCCCCGCCTCTCACTGCCTCGCTCAGAGGCAACCCCTCCTTCGTTACACTCTCATGCATCCAAGGGCTGAGTCCTTGTGATTTCAGAGTGAGGCCTGGGGCCACATCCTGGCCCAGCCCGATGCTCCCCTGCCGGTGGCCACATCTCCAAGCTGCTCCTTTCCCCACAGTGCCAGAAGCAGCCTGGGAGGCGCCTGCTTGCGGGTCAATGCATCCCTCCCCATTAGCGTTACCAAAATGGCACGCCCGTTTTTCCCATACAGGCTGGCCCTGTGCAGAAAGAGCCCGGCTTCTGGGCCGCGGCACAAGCACAAGTGAGATCTCTGGAGCACACGCAGCCAGCCATGAGCAAAGCCAGTCACCATGCAGCGGCCTCCCATTTGCTGGGCAAACTGAGGAAGGCCCTTCCACATCTCGCCAGCATATGCATTCAGGTGTTCTTACCGCAATAACCGCGTCTGCTGCCTCTTGCGGATCGAGGGGTTGGACTCAAAAACGTGAGGCCGCTTCCTTTTTTTCCCCGTTGCCACCGCTGCCGCAGCCGCCATCCCCACGGGGCCTGTGGGCGAAAGAGGGGCTTTGACTCTTCTACAGGAAGCTGTATGCGCCAGACCTCCCTCTGTCTAATGCCCGCCAGGCGTGTGGGGCTACAGCCCCCGTCATCTCCACCCATCGTGCCTGCTGGACAAGACTAGAGGAGCCCATGCAAACTATGGCAGGGCTCAAGAACAGATATACACGTCTTCTCTATAGCAAGCTGCACCTTTTCCATGCACCCACCACCACCTTGCAAGGTAAATTGGCAAAAGTTGTACATGCATATCCCTGAATGCAATACGGAGAAAAAAGGAGATCTGCAACCTCGCCAGGATCTCCATCTCCCAATGGCATGAACATTCCACCTCGTTCTCGAGGGTGAGCGTGGGCTTGTGTTTTGCACAGGGAAGAGGCAAGCTTTTTGAAGCATGAACACGAGCACTTCCTCCCCACCACTGGTTAAATGTGCAAAGGCATCCTGTTTGCAGAGTGCCCATTTCAGAACGCACACGCTTTAAAAAGGATGCCTTTTGCACTCCACACGCTTGAAAGTACGAGAGCTTTTTTTCTAAAAGTTGTGGTCACATTCTCAGTCTTGCCTGGAATTGTGAACCGGGTATTTCTGCCAGTCTTTCAGACAACGCAATCCTTACAGGGTCTTCTGGGAGAAGAAGTCAGCGCAGTAGTGCTGCTCTGCTGCCCTCTGCTGCCCTACGGCAGCACACTGAAAATTCCAGCGTCAGGCAAGGTGAAGTCATGAAAAATGCCAGGACAGAAAGCTGGTTTTCCTTTGCTCTTGAAAATTACCTTGCCAACGCCAGAAAAAGGAACTATGTCTCAGATGTCAGGGCAGTATTGATGGCCAGCTCATGCCCAGCGGAATCATGACAGTGTGCACACTTTCCCCACTGTCTGGTTTATGGTCTGAAATATGAATATGGCCTTCATGAAGAAGTCCTATTTATTTATTTATTTATTTATTTTTGGATTTATATCCTGCCTTTTTCCGACAAAGGGCTCAAGGCAGCTTACATCTCCTCCTCCATCTTATCCCCACAACAACAACCCTGCGAGGTAGGTTGGGCTGAGCATCTGTGACTGGCCCAAAGTCCCCCAGTGGGCTCCATGGCCGAGCGGAGACTCGAACCTGGATCGCCTGAGTCCCGGTCCCAGGCTCTTCACCATTACGCCACCCTGGCTCAGATCCAAGCATCTGGTTCACGCCATGCTCAAAATGTGTACTTTCTTCTTTCAAAAGTCTAAATCTTAATATTTTGGAGTTTCCTAAGAAACTGAAGCATTTTATTTAGACACCGAAAGCCTCAACTGGTCAACCCCGCGTTACCAGACCCATCCCAGTGCAAAACAAGTTGCACAAAGCCCTCTGGAAATGCCTGCGCCTCTGTGGGCACCTCTGAGGAGAGGAGCAAATGTACCTGCAGCAGCCAGGTGGGCAGTCACCTCATCCGTAGCCGTGGAGTTGAGAATGTCGGAGTCATCGTAGGAGGTGTCCTCAGGGGAAGACGGCGAGTCCTCATCAGCACTGAGCATGCTGTGCTCTGTGTATGTGGCCACGTGGACCTGCTGCACCTGCTGGGCCACGGCGTGGGCCTCTATGGTGGCCATGTGCTCTGTCTGGGTCACTGTGTGTTCCTCCATTAATTGCTACTGAGCTGCAGGAAGAGCGAGACAAGGCGAAGGCAAAATGAGCTGGGAGAAAGCGAGCCCGAAAAATCCACAGGTAGCAGCATTTGGAACAGAAGCGTACTTTTGAACTGCCGAAGCCGTGCGAAACATCTGGAACACGGCGCTGATTCACACAGGGACCCTAAGGCCAGAAGCCGCCTGGGACTGCTGAACTTCCATTGCCACAAGGCTGGGCAGGTGCCGCAGGCCGTTGGGCCTCCGAGGTCACGTAGGGCACTCTAAGCTTGGCTGAGGATGACTCGCAAAGCAACTGCTTCTGCTGTGATACTTTTAGTACGGCTTTTCTGTATGGCTTCCTTCATTTCTAGAACGCGCTGCCTTACATTAGGCCTCTGGATGTCTTGTCTGCCTCCTTCTATATCTGTATCTCTATCTTATCTTAAGCTTTTCACACTTCTCTATAAATTCTATTTTGAGCTATAGGGATTATGAAACTACATGAGTATGGATAATGAATGGATTCTGTCATAGATGTATTTTTATCCCACTGTAATCCACTTAGAGGGCCTCCAGGCCAATATAGCAGAATGGAAGTTTAATAATAAAATAGACGGATAGAAAGAAAAAGAACCCATGTAATGTTTGTTCCAGTACCTAGCTTGCATATCTTATGCCAGTCTTCCTAAACTGGGAGCCATTCTGGCATGATGGACTACACGTCCCATCATGCCAGCCAGGTGGCTTGAGGTGATGGAAGCTGCAAACAAACACACTGCGAAGACCCCGTGTTGGGGAAGGCTGTCTTATGCAAAGAACACTGACTCCGAGACCCTTGCTAACATTGGGAAAGACATTGCTAACATTGCTTCTGCTTCTAAGTTAGTAGAAAGCAGCATGGGATTAGGAGCTGGCTGAAAACAGTTGCACACGTCCAAAACGGAGAGGCCCCCTCTCTCCCAGCCCAAGAGCGTCACTGAGCCAGATGGCACAAGGATGTGCCACCTCCAGGAGAACAAGCCAAGACCAGCATCTACAGATGCCAGCATACGGCAGAACCGATGACTCTCTGAACATACGCTGACAGCCCAAGAAGAGGGTGTGAGGAGAGGAGGACGGAGCAACGGATCTCCTGCTAGTTAGAGAGCGAACAAAGAGCTGGGGAGGAGACGACACCTTCTGGGAACATGACAACGTGAGAAGCCACCAGTCTCATCCTCGAGCATGGGCTGCCTCCCTCCTTCCCCATCCCTCTCAGCACTGGCCACTCGGCGTCTGCTTTTCTTCTGCAGCATCTTTTGATGTTCACCCTGGGATTCCGTAAATGCCACGTCTGTTTTTAACCCTATACAAACTGATGATTTAGGAAGTTGCGGCTGCCTGCCCAACACCTCTTTCCTCGAGTCCAGTTTCAATCCATGCGCCCAGAAACCTCCCACTGGGCACACCACGCCATGGTCTGCCTCTCACAATGGTCAGGTCAGCCTTCCCAGCCTGGGCTCTGCAGAGCGATTGGACTCCTCCACCCAGCAGCTTGCTCCCAGCACGTATTCCACGACACGCCATCGACTTCTACCGTTGCCCCTCCTGACTGGGGATGAAGCTCCTGGATGGAGTTCATCCTTCCGTGTTAGCTGGTCCTCTGCCCCCTTTTGGGCAAGCGCCCACCTTTCCTCTGCTCTCAGGAATCAGGGTGCAGCTTGACACCCTCGAGCAGAAAATGGTGTTCCCACGCAGCCCAAAGTTCTGGGACATACCACCTTTCTTTGCAAGCCCTAGTGAGGGAGTAATGGGAACAGAACAGGAAGCCAAACTCAGAACGTCCCCAGAATCAGCTGGCCAAGTTGCTCAGAGGTTGCTTGCCACAGTGAGCATCTAAGCACCAGAGCTGAACTTCTTGGCATCTCACCCAGAAAAACAGCAGCCCAAATTTTCACTAAGTATCTCATTTTTCTTTGCTGTTTCCCAATCCATTTCCTACCGTGTGGCACAAGATCTAGCAAAGAATTTGGCTAATAGAGGAACATCCCTGGCTGCTTTACTACCCTACATGGCAAACGCTCTAGAGGGGCCTTTGGCAGCCCTGCAGACGAATGATGCCTGCCTTCCCCGGAAGGATCACCCATGCACACAAACCCATGAAGGTGACACCTGTGTCTTCAAAAATAGTACAAAATATGGGCCCTCCCTAGAAAAGACGAGCCTTACGGCAGAACCGCACAGCAGGTGCAGCTGAACAGGGCAGACGGGGAAATAGCACTAGCTTCAAGGGGCTGGAACAAGACATCCTGCTTAGCAAGGCAGAATGCTGGTCCAGGCAGCGCGGTCTGTGGTCTGGGCAGCACCCTGCCTGATACGGCATCATAGACTTTAGTCCCCAGCCGGCAGTGTCAGCAGTCAAAAGCGCTGGGAGTTGTAGCCCAAAATATCTGAAGCCACATGGCTCGAGGAAATGTTACAAAAACCTTTCCCTTTTAAACCTGAAGTCTTCTTACTAGGCATTCTATCTGTGGACATTAGTATACAAGAAATATATCTGATTTTACATGTAATTACCGGGGTGAGGATTGCATTTGCTCAACACTGGAAAAGTGAAGAACCACCCACCGACGAACTGATCCTAAAAAAGATCTTGGACTGTGCGGAAATGGATAGATTGACTTTATCATTGAAGAAGATACTGACTTCTATCAAACTTGGGGTTCTTTTTATTATTGGCTAGAGAAACAGGACTTCGTATAGATTTAAATATGTTTTTAAGTTATCATAAATGGAAAAAAAATGTGGGGGCTGACCCAGCAGGCCCGATGTTTTTGATGATTGATGTTGTTTGTAGTTTTCCTTGTTTTTAGAATTACAATTTCAAATAAAACTTATTATAAAAAAAAACAAAATATCTGAAGCCACCATGCTGGGAAAGGCTGAAGTATCACACCCTCCACCAAAATCGAGTCAGATCACATGGAAGCAACCACAGGGTCAATCCTTCCATCAGAGTCTGCCCCATTGCTCACTGTGGGGAAACCAGCGTTCTCGCATCAGTTCTTTTACGAGCCTCGGAATTCACAAATTCCACCAATTAGATTTTAGTACAGTTTAAGTAGTTACGGTAATTGGCCACTGTATTTTCCATGGCACATCCTTTAAACATAGAAACAGAGAAACAGAGCAGGTCAGAAGGGGCCTCCTGGGCCATCTAGTCTGACCCCTGGCTCCAGCCAGCTCCGCTCACGACATGCCCACCATGAGCATGTCCAGCCTGTCCTTGCACATCTATCTTTAAGAAAAGGTTTGAGCTGTATGATCCCACCCATAATCATATTGTAGTTGTGCTGAGAAGTATCCTAGAAAATGGGCACACAGAATTATGGCAAAAGACTTGAATGCCCATTTTCTTTCTGGTCCATCTCCTAACCCACAATTGGAAATCCCCTCCATTTATGACATTGCTTTCTATTAAAAATGTGGGCTAATCATTTACTCAAATATCTGCATTTCACTTATTAATGGGAACTTTTGAGGGGATTTTACTAGTATCACATACAACACAGTTTCTCAAAAATTCCTTCGGAATTTGATCCCTTCATTAGCACTTTAATATAATTGTTTTATTTCTTACACTTGTTTTCACTCGCTTCATACTTGTTCTGGTTATTCTCTGAAACCTCACAGGATGCATCTGTGCATTGGCACCAGTAGGGGATTTCTCTCCAATGCTAATTTCTGATTTTCTTCAGGACCACAACAACAGGGAACAGGATTAAATTCTCTTCCATGCCCTTCACTCCCAGCTGATGCTACTTGCATTATTAAAAACTGGTATATTAAATGCCATCGTGCATGTAATAGCATGGCCCCCAGACAGGCAAAACTTCCCCCTGCCTTTTATTTGTGGGATTCGCATGTAAGCATTTCGCAATAAATTCTGCTGGGCCTAGGACCACCAGCTTTAAGATCAAAGCCTCTGCATATTCTCTCGGATTGTTATTACTTTATCTGTACTGTATGAGGGACACTTGAAAGGAGAGGCTTCCAGCAGCAGCCTGCGCTGCTCCGATGCGATGGACACAGGGCAAGCGGTTCTGATTGCCCTTGGACGCTGTGGGACCCAAGGCGGGAGCGTGCTGGCCGACAAGTGCCACTGAAAGGCTTCGGAATGGCCTGGAGGAGACTGGGAAGGGGGCTTCGAGGAGACCGAGCAGATGGAACTGCTGCGGTGAGGAAGACTAGTTCGGAACAGGGTATCGGCTCTCTGGCTGCTGGCCTTGGCCAGCGATGCAGGACGCTCCACGCACCAAAATACGGTGAAAAATGTCTTTTCTTCCATTTGCGGTTTTGTCGGAGAAACAGGCTGAGAAGCATCTGTGTGTCCATGGCCAGGCATAATCTGGCTCCAGCCCGATGCCCAGTGAGCGCCTGCCAGCAGGTTCCACCTGGCTCTCCACCCTGGTTCTCAGCCAGGGCGGAGAAACAATGCACCGTGCAGCGCTCCTAAGTTCAGCAGGCGCTTCACAACCAAGTGTTCAGCACAACTCATGCGCTGCCTGGAAAGCACGCACACGAATACTGCGCGAGATCTCCATCCTGTGGCTGAGGATTTAAAGCTGTGGCGCAGCTTGAGCTTCCGGGTTAGATCACAGCCCTGCCGAGGGGTCGCTCTCTTTGAGGAGCCGACTCTTGGCCTACTCAATTCGCTCATCCACTTTCTGGGCCCAGGAGGCTCTTAGCCCCCCTCAGAGTACGAAGCCTCTGCTGACCGGCGGGAACCTTTCCTGCTTGCCAGGTGCTCAGCATCACACAAGGCACAGAGCTGGAGGATCGGTGGTCTTCGTCATGTTGCCTCGCCCTCTGACAACACTGACGTCCCTTCCGAGGCTGATGGCATTGCAGAAGATGCATCAGGGAAACGAGCGAGGGGAAGACGGTGTGTCTGACGCTCACTCGCCTTCCAGACAGGCAGGCTGAGCTTTCCCGCAGCCAGCGTGCAGCTGAAATCCCACGAACGGCCTGGCCAACACCATTTACGCAAGGGCAAGAAAACAAAGGCACGCGCACGTTGGTAGGATCGCTGCTGGTCACAGAACACAGTCTTGTTGCAGAATTTCCAGGTAAAGTTGGCAGATATTTTGTTCTGCTTTCAATTATAGAATAAGCAGTACAGCACTGGGACAGAACTTGCTTGGATACACCACCATTCCCATAACTCCCAGCGTTGCCGGCTGACTACTGGCTGTGCTGATGGGAGCTGAAGTCAAAACACGTGGAGGGCAACATGGAAGGCGCTGTGTGACTTGCACAGCCTTGAGCGTGTGCGATTGTGTAATCCTCAAAAAGGAATCCATCCTAACAGCAGCCCCAATGCAGAACACAGGACCCAAGGCCCCATCAAAGCTCTCAGAGCTGAAGCGCTTGCCCACGTGGACCTGCACTTGGAAAGCACGACACTTCCCATGTTTTGGGGGCCACCCGGCACAGAGCACCCCAACTTCAGACATACAGGGTGACATACACATTCTCACTGCAAGTGGCAAGTTTTAATCAAGCCAAAATGACTTCACAGCTGATGGGTAGAGCTCAACTGATGGAAACTGATGGGAGAAATGAAGTGAAACATTCACATTTGGGAGAATGGGTTTCATCCGCAACGCAGGCAGAAAGGCACAGATTACCATCTATTTTTCAGACAGAAAGGGGGATGTTTGTGTCTATGATGAATCAGCTCGTGCCGAGGATCCTAAACCAGTGGAAAAGTCGTCCACGCGGCTCTGATTCCAGGTCCACACGGGCACAGGTGGAGCCTCCACTTCCTGTATGAGCAGCCTGGCAGGTGGCGCAAACCGCTTGCTCACAGCACAGCTGCTGTGTGCTGAACGCATGGAACGGATTTTGCAGGGCAGGTCAGCACCTCCTTCTCCTTATGGTAGCAGCAGGACCAGATCGCACCTGACATCGCATAAAGCATCACGCCAGCTTTCTGCCTATGGATGCTGAAAGTGAGCTGGGTCTGAAAAATCTGGGATCCCTGACTGCGTGTCCCAGCCTACGTCGTTAGTTCCCTTTCCTGGCAAAGGAAGCAGTTCCCCCTGAAACATGTTGGTCTCGACAGGTTTCACCTTAGGACCAGCTCTGCACCCGAAGTTCTTCATGTCGAGCAGGAATCTGGTGCAATTATACTTTGCCAGAAAGCAGATCAGCTCAGTATTGTTTTCAACAGCTCTTAAGAAGCCACGCTGGTTGGGGAGCTGTTTTGCTGAGAGCTGATTGGGAAACCTGCCTCTATCCTCTCTCTTACTGAGTGGGTCCAGCATCTTCCTTATTTATTTATCAATTTATATCCTGCCTTTTTCCTACAAAGGGCTCAAGGCAGCTTGCATCATTCTCCTCCTCCATCTTATCCCACAACAACAGCCCTGTGAGGTAGGTTGGGCCGAGAGTCTGTGACTGGCCCAAAGTCACCCAGTTGGCTCCATGGCCAAGCGGGGACTAGAATCAGATCGTCCGAGTCCCAGTTCCATGCTCTGAACCACTACGCCACACTGGCTCTCCTCTCTCTTCTACATCTTCTTTTAAGCGCTGTCCTTGCCCCAGCGTATGTGCCTTCACACCATAACCAAGAAGCAATATGAGAAGGAAACAGTGGCAGCTAGCCATCCGGACTACAGGCATTTCTAGCAAATTCCTGCTGGGAATGGGGCCACAGCGAAAACCAAATCAGATTCCCATTGGGGTGCACTGTTTGCCCAGAACCTCTCCCCAAAATACTTCACTAACATACATTTTGAAAGCAGGATCTCTACCGGTAGCTTGTTTTAAAAGCAACCAAGTCTTGGTGGAAAAATGGCCCAGGCTGTTAATGGAAAGGAGATGAGAATACAAAGTAGTTCTTTGTTTTAAATACGGTAATAGCAAAATGGCTGCTGAATCTTGGCACTGAAAAGAAGTTTCATTAGCCAGTGCTTTGAGCTGTCTGCCCAATTGCACTACTGCCCTGAATCAACACCCATTTCAAATGACTGGCACCTTTAAAAGGCCAAGTAAACGAGTGTCAAAAGCTTAACCACCGGGGCAGTGGCGAAAGGAGTCCAGCCCTTCCGTTATCACATTATCTGACCTCTGACCCAGGAGGACACGGTGCATGTAACTGGGAGTCGAGCTGCCAAAGGAGCCCAGCAAAAGGTTTCACTAAAAGGAACTGTTCTCCTTCAGAAGACCTTGAGGACCAGGTCTGATCTCTCTCTAGGGGGCCGTGTTCCAGAGTAGAAGGGGCTCCCACCATGGGAGCTTCTTTTTGAGACGAGATCGTTGACGGAGCCTGCTCTTCCAATCTTAACAGAAGGCAGGGCTGCTCCGAAGAGTGAAGCCTGCGGGAGACGCAGGGCCCACTCTCTCCCCAGCAGCACGTGACCAGCAACTCAGCACTCTCCTG